TGAGGTTTGTACTGTGAAATTGGATGGACAAGTGATTGCAAGTGACCAAAAGTCTATAGAAAAGCACCAACAGCGGAAAATGAAAACCATTGAGCAAATGCTAAATACTTTAAATATGTCGTTAGTCCATGTAAATATAATATTTTTGTTTTAGATTCTTGAGAAACTCTTTTTAGTTCTTCATTTTACAAATTATGATATTTCCTTTTTTGTCCATCTTTAACTTTTGAACAAATTACACTCCGGGAAAAATTAATGTCACTTGCATAACGACATTCTAAAGTTTGAACTATTACTATCCATAGTATAAGTCTATAAGATCTTTTTTTGATCATATAGTATAAGATCTTGTAAACTACAGAGTATTAGTGAAGCTAAACCAAACTAATCACTCACATTTATAATTGGGAATTTTCCAAAGTAAGAGTTGATGGAAAAATAATCATCAAGAGTAAAAAGAAAATGTTTTGGGATGACATGCGACATTATTATCATTATCAATGAATTATTAGTTTCTCTTAATTTTAGGATGACATTACTTACTCCTACTAATAAAACACAACAATCTACTTTATGAAAGTCACCGTCTTTATCCTATATTTCGGACAACTACTTTTGATAATAGAATAATTCTAAATTTATTTTTATTCCTATATATTTTGCCTACATTCCTAAAATGTTGGATGTAACTTTTCAACACCCAATAATTGCATGACATGTATGAATATTGACAAAGAGTGAAGATAACAAATGTACTCTTATCGTTACTTATTATTCTGTCCGTCCCGCTAAGGTTGTATCTTTGTTTTTCAATCAGTCTTATTAAGATTGTTCCATAACAAATTTAATATCAGTCACATAAAACAACTTTTCTTAATATCTCAATCTTTGTGGGTTGAAAGTACGATTTAGAGTATTTTCATACAGCGTAAGAAATAATGTGAAAAGCAAGATAGAAATTACTACGTATGTTAGCCATGTGACTCATGTCCATGTTGTTCTGAACCTGACATGGCTAGAGAGTTGTGGATGGCTCTAGAAAGAAAATAACATACTCTTGGGAAATACAAGTCCATAATTTGTAGGATCAAAAATAAAACAAAAATTCTTGTTGTACACGCTTCATGTTTACGTACACATTGCATGCGAAGATTTTTTTAGTCCGTTTTTGTTGTGACCCATAAAAAAGTATTTCACAATTAGTGTCTAATGTTAGAACTGGGGAGTTGAAACTGTTTTAGAAAATCTGGCGGATTTCTCAGAGTATCGTGTGATCACTTTCCGAATCTAATATTTCGACCCTATGCCTGGGTTACACGAAATTTAGATTATGGGGATAATCAATCTGAGAGACAGTCTAAAACTGAGGCACCAATATATAGACCACGAACTAGCAGTTTTAGTAGAACTCGAATTCTTCTGATTACCAAAGAGATAAGGCCAATCGGTTAGAGTTTTACTCTAACAGAAAGTCATTCTATTAAATAATTAATATGGACATGTTTATCCGAAAATAAATTTCCATATTTATTTCTTTAATAAGCGAGACCCCCGCCAGGGGCGCTGCCCCTTGGACCCTGCCAGGGGCGCTGCCCCTTGGACCCCGCAAGGGGGCGCAGCCCCCTTGACCCCCGCCATTTAATCGAACCAAGTTTAAATTTAATTTCGTACAAGTGTGCGCTCCGCACCTCCTAACTTGTCTAAAATTAAACTTGAACTCCATTGGTAATCTGTAAATTCCATTACACTAAAATGAACCTGGTGATACTAAAATCACCAACAATCCTCCCCCATTTTAGTGTAACCATGAATCTACATAAACAAGAATAAGAGACAACCAAACTTATGCATACATGAAAATATCGAAACGATTGAATTTTCATATTAGTACATTACACATTCCAAATACTCGAGAATCAGGGTGTTCTAAGAATTGAACCCTTCAACCCATTTGAATACATGAAGATAACATACACATAAGTTCAAATAAACAACTAGTTCAAAACTTTGACACTATTATTAAGCCGAGTGTCCCAATCCATTCATAATCGTATAAAAGTCAAGTCCCAACTTTTCGAAGTGCGGCTACACTTCACGATCATATAGGTAATTCCTTTAATCATGTACCTGCTTACATTTTAACAAAGGAATTATTAAGAATATATATTCAACCCTTTTACTACAGGTCCGAACACACTAACTTGGGATGACAAAATGCATGTGTTCCATTCCTTAAGTATGAGCTTTCCTCATTGAATTCAACCTCTAATATTATATTAGAGGGGAATTAGGTGTCTCATCATTATGGAATTAAATGGACTTTAAACCCATCCCAATCGCAGACTTGTGCACTAAGTCCCTGGCCAGACCTTTAGTTAAATGATCCGCCAAATTCTGTTGTGATTTCACATACTCAACAGAAATTACACCCTTCATGATTAAGTCCCTAATCATACTGTATCTAACACCTAAGTGTCTAGACTTCCCATTATACACTTGGCTATAGGCCTTAGCCAACGTGGCAGCACTATCACAACGAATAGAAATGGGTGCAATTGGCTTTGTCCATAATGGAATCTCAAAAACCAAATCCCTTAGCCATTCTGCCTCTTTACCGGCAGCAGCTAAAGCAACAAATTCAGACTCCATTGTTGAATTTGTAATGCAAGTTTGCTTCTTAGAGGCCCAAGAAATGGCACCTCCCCCAAGCAAGAATACCCAACCACTTGTAGAAGAATGATCTTCTAGATGATTTATCCAGCTTGCATCAGTATATCCTTCTAGAACCGAGGGATATCCAAGATAACATATTCCATAATCCATGGTTCCTTTTAAGTATTTGAATACTCTTTGAATTGCTTGCCAATGTTGAGTACTAGGATTGCTAGTATACCGACTCAACCTCCCAACCGCGTAGGCGATATCCGGACGAGTGCTTGTCATGGCATACATCAAGCATCCTATAGCTTGAGAGTATTCTAATTGTGATATTGCCTTGCCTTTGTTTGGCATTAATTTGACACTAGGGTCCATGGGAGTACTCACGGGAGAACATTCACTATAATTAAATTTCTTGAGAATTTTCTCAACATAGTGTGCTTGCGTCATAGCAATTCCTTTGTTCAACCGCTTAATCCTAATACCAAGGATTACATCAGCCTCCCCCATATCTTTCATGGAAAACCTTGATGACAATAAACTTTTCGTTTAATCAACTTGAAGTTGATCAGTGCCAAAAATCAGCATGTCATCAACATATAGGCAAATTATCACACCACACCCGGTTGAATCAAACCGACTGTAAACACATTTATCAGATTGGTTTAGCTTAAAACCACTTGATAAAATAACTTCATCAAACTTTTGATGCCATTATTTTGGTGCTTGTTTCAGACCATACAAGGATTTGACAAGTTTACACACTTTATGCTCATTACCGGGCATAACAAAACCTTCTGGTTGGTTCATGTAAATTTCCTCATCAAGCTCTCCATTTAAGAAGGCTGTTTTGACATCCATTTGATGGACAACCAGATTGTGGATGGTTGCCAAACCAACCAACAATCTAATGGTAGATATCCGAGCCACTGGTGCATATGTGTCAAAATAATCAATACCTGGTTTTTGTTTAAACCCTTGTATTACCAAACGTGCTTTGAACTTATCTATAGTTCCATCTACCTTCATCTTCTTTTTGAAGATCCATTTGCAACCCAAAGGTTTAGAACCTGGTGGCAAATCACATAGCACCCATGTATTGTTTTCTAAAATTGATGATAATTCATCATCAATTGCCTCTTTCCAAAAGGTCACATCTCGGGATTCCATGGCCTCTTTAAAGGTCTTTGGATCTCCTTCAATACTGTAACAATACGAGTATTGAAATCCAACCTCATCCCTTGATCCTTCCACCAAATACAGCTGGAAATCGGAGCCAAAATTTTTAGCAATTCGAGCCCTTTTGCTCCTCCTGGCCTCTTGGGGTTCCGGATCTGATATACCTTCTAAAGTTTCTGAAATTTGTCCTTCATTACTGTTAGAAATCAGATCCTTAGGCCTTGGGATTGATGAAAAACGCATTTCATCAAAAATCGCATCTCGCGACTCAATCACGGTATGTACAGAAACCGAATTATTAGGATCTATAACATAGAACCTATATGCCTTGGAATTTTCAGCATATCCTATGAAAATGCAGTCAATTCCCCTTTCTCCCAAAGTATTTATTTTGGGATTGGTTAGTTTGACAACTGCCCGACAGCCCCAAATTCTGAGGTAACTCAAATTTGGAGACTTTTTGAACCATAATTCATATGGGGTTTTCTTGTTCCTTTTATTTGGAACCCTATTCAAGACATAACATGCGGTAAGCATTGCCTCCCCCCAAAAACCCTTACTCAAGCCTGAGTAAGACAACATCGAGTTGACCATTTCTTTTAAAACTCGATTTTTCCTTTCGGCAACACCATTCTGTTGTGGTGTATATGGTGCCGTGGTCTCATGGATGATACCAACTGATTGGAAATATTGGGTATCCATATATTCCCCTCCCCGATCAGTTCTAAGACATTTAACCGGATTGCTTAATTGCAATTCCACCTCGGTTTTGTATATTTTGAATTTTTGTAAGGCTTCATCCTTAGAATGCAACAAATACACATAGCAAAACCGAGTTGAATCATCAATAAAAGTTACGACATAATTTTTGTTGCCAAGTGAGGGAGTTGAATGAAAATCACAAAGATCACTATGAATCAATTCCAAAATTCCAGAATTTCGATTAATATTTTGAAAAGGTTGTCTTGTGATTTTGGTCAACATGCAAGTTTTACATTTTTCTGTATTGATATCAAAGGCAAGAATTGATCCATCTTTTGACATTTCGTGCATTCTTCTAAAATTAACGTGACCTAAACGAGCATGCCATAGCATGACATTATCAATTGAAGAAGTGAATGATGCAGATGATACAAACACAGAATTTCCAACAGAAGATAAAGTATCAACCAAATTCAAACAAAACATACGATTAGTAAAATAACCAAAACCAACAAACGTGCCAAATCGAGATAAAATAAATTTATCCGATTCAAAGACTTGCTTAAAGCCATCAGAATTTAAATAACCACCACTAACAAGGTTCTTACTAAGCCTAGGAACAAATAAAACATCAGACAACTTTATTGTTTTTCCCGAAGTAAACGTAAGACTAACAACTCCAAAGCCACAAATTGGTTGACTCGACTTATCACCCATCATCACCGTGGAACCATCATCAACTGGTGTCAATTTCTCGAACCATCGACGATCTTTACACATATGACTTGTGGCACCCGAGTCAACCCACCATGTACGGTCATCATCCTGTACATAAAAAGAACCAGGAATTAGTGAACAATAATTCTGAGTAGAATTATAAAGAGGGTTAGAAAGATTCTGACCTCCTCTAGATGCAGTAGAGTCCTTAGGCCCACTGTTTCCACCACCACTGTTTCCTCCACCACTATTTGCAGCTTTGTTCTTATTGAGATTCACCCGACAATCACGCTTAACATGACCCGTCTTTTGACATCTCCAACAAACCAGATCCTTAGGATTCTTATTTGGTTTGTCTCGGCTATCATTCTTGCGTTTGATGCCTTTTCCCTTGTGATTTTGATTGTTTTTGTTTACTTCAACCATGTGGACAGTAGGCTGTCCAACATCAGGCTTTGCCTTAATTTTGTCACCTTCTTGAATGCGGAGTGATTCCTCAATCTGTATGTGACTACCGAGTTGTAACAGAGACAACTCTTCATTCCCATGTTTCAGATCACGCTTGTAATCCTTCCATGTTGGTGGTAATTTTTCAATTATCATCGCAACTGCGACGCACTCATCCATCTTCATATTATGTTGAGTGAGTTGGCCCAGAATGCGAAGAATTTCATTGTATTGTTCCATAACAGGCCTTGAGTCCATCATCTTATAGTGATAAAAATCACTATCAAGGAACTTCTTACTAGAAGCATCCTCAGCCATATACTTGGACTCAAGTGAATTCCACAATTCCTTCGCACTCTCCACGTTTTGGTAAATATCCAATAAAGTATCAGACATACCGTTTAGAATATGGCCCCTGCAGATGTAGTCATCGTTTTCCCACTTGGAACGACGCCTTGACTGCTCAATAGTTTCATCTTCGTGATACGCTGGCATAGGCGTACTCAGAACGTAAACCACCTTCAGTGTGGTCAACAGAAAGTGCATCTTCTTTTGCCAGCGACGGAAATCAACTCCTTGGAATTTCTCCAACTTGTCGAATTTGGAAGTCATCTCTTTTACAGATTCAGCCATGATTTTCCGAAATAAAAAAATATTAGATTCGATTGTTAGAACTGGGGAGTTGAAACTGTTTTAGAAAATCTGGCGGATTTCTCAGAGTATCGTGTGATCACTTTCCGAATCTAATATTTCGACCCTATGCCTGGGTTACACGAAATTTAGATTATGAGGATAATCACTCTGAGAGACAGTCTAAAACTGAGGCACCAATATATAGACCACGAACTAGCAGTTTTAGTAGAACTCGAATTCTTCTGATTACCAAAGAGATAAGGCCAATCGGTTAGAGTTTTACTCTAACAGAAAGTCATTCTATTAAATAATTAATATGGACATGTTTATCCGAAAATAAATTTCCATATTTATTTCTTTAATAAGCGAGACCCCCGCCAGGGGCGCTGCCCCTTGGACCCTGCCAGGGGCGCTGCCCCTTGGACCCTGCCAGGGGCGCTGCCCCTTGGACCCCGCAAGGGGGCGCAGCCCCCTTGACCCCCGCCATTTAATCGAACCAAATTTAAATTTAATTTCGTACAAGTGTGCGTTCCGCACCTCCTAACTTGTCTAAAATTAAACTTGAACTCCATTGGTAATCTGTAAATTCCATTACACTAAAATGAACCTGGTGATACTAAAATCACCAACATCTAAAAATGTGTAAACAGTATTAGTATGCACAAAAACATACTTAAGTGAAGGGAGTATTTCAGTATTTTTTAAAAGCTTAAAACCAACCTGAGGATGACTTTGATCATTATTCTGCTTGCTGTGATCTCCATTATTTCTGTTCTGCAAATCAATGCTGCAATCAATATCCTCAACCACAAGGATGGATTTGTTTTTAGTAGTGGGAAGCAGCTCTTGGAGATCCGAGTTGCTCCGTAAGCAAGAGAGATCCAGTTCATAGATGTTGAATTTCAGATAGTTGGCCATGGCTGCTATAAGGCTCGACTTCCCTGTTCCCGGAGGTCCATACAATAAGTACCCTCTCTTCCATGCCTTCCCAACTCTCCTGTAATAATCTCTCCGGCTAACAAATCTGTCCAAATCTTCGATGATTTCCTTCTTCAGTTCAGGATCCATCGCTAGGGTCTCGAAAGTGGACGGATGCTCCAGATTAACCTCATCTGTATAGTTGCCAATCGCCATCAGCTTCACGCGTTTGTTTTCTTCTTTTATGACCTTCGATCTTTCCAGAACGAACGGTATATATTTGCTGATAACAATTTCACTGAATTTCTTGTTGAAGGAGAGTTCGAATGATTTCCGTTCCGTACTACTCTCCGATGAAAAAGAGCGATCAAACTCGGATTTTTTAGAAGAACTGGCAGTGACTTTCAATTCCCATATCAATTCCGCGCCGCCAAACGTGTCAGTGATTTTCTCATCCCTGCTAATGATGAATGAGATGCTTTTGTCCCTGGACGCCTGGGAGATTTTGAGCCTGCCTGCGGCAGGCTTCAGCTTGGTTCTGAGATAGATTTCAGCGGCTTCGAAGATTTCATTTCGGATAAGGCCGTTCTGTTCATCAATGACGAAAATTGTTTGGGAGGAGAAGTTGCAGATTAGGCCTCCGAGCTTTGAAGAGAGCTTTTCCAGGAGGTCTCCAGGCAAGAACTGGTTGGCCAATGCTTTGAGCTCAGTCAGAACTGTCCTGATCAGGAAAGCTGAAGTAGTGAAAGCAGTGTATGTTGATAGAATGGAAGATGTTGAGGGAACATCAGAAAGAGAAATCATCTTCTAAGTTTTTTTCTTTTCTTCCTCAGATCTTTTTCACAATAAGGTTTTTCTAAAACATTCTGAAATCTGATGAGTGGTTTAGAAAGAAAGAAGCTGTTCTTGTCAACTGACTCAACTCAATGCAAGGAAAGAAATAAAGAAGAAAAGGAAGAGTGTTTAGTTCCACTTGCCACTGCTGCTATTTGCTGTCAGCACAACAACTCATTGTGGACGTGTACCATACTTTTTGGTCACTTTTGGGTTCAGATGATGTGACGAAGCTTTTTGTCGTCCCACAGTCAAATATTTGACAGCCATAAATGAAGATAATTTGTGATCTACCATGATTGTTTTACAAGTTAGAACGGATAGAAGATTTGAAGATAATTCAGGAGGGAATATTTTTTATTTTAAAATTACCCCATTACCCTTACAATTACTTTTCCATCCATCCCATTTATTACCCCACCCAACCCAACCATCCGACTTCTTTTATTATTTGGCACCTTCTCTATTCCTTGTCATTATTCCACCCACCCGTATTTATCTCTTTCTCTCGCACCCTCTCTCCGTTCTCTTCCATCCCCATCTCGAAAACTGTACTCCATCTTCGTCGATTAATCTGCAGTCATCCCACCCACACACCCATCTAAAGCTTGAAAGCCAAGAATTGCCGGAAAATTGTCGGATTTGTGCATGCGTGGTGATTTGAATGGTGTGGTGGTTGAGGTCTCAGAGGTTTCTTCCGGATGGGCCAATTTCGTCCCTGAGGCTGAGGTCTCTTCCGGCTTCGTCCCTGACTCTGAGATCTCTTTCGGCTTCGTCCCTGACTCTGAGATCTTTTTCGGCTTCGTCCCTCACTCTAAGATCTTGCCCGGATTTGTCCCTGAGGCGGAGATCTTGCCGGATTTCATCCCGGATTCTGAGCTCAAGTTGGTCCCGGTTTCTGAGATTGAAGGGGGGTTGAAAGGAATAAAACAGTTGAGATCTGAGCATTTGGACCGAAGAGGTGAAGCCTCCAATGACAGTATCATTGACATCTACCTACGGCCAATAGATACAACAAATGTTGGCTATCTTCTACCTGCGTACGCTCCTGCTGATCCGGACCATAGAGTTCAAGAAAGATTGGACAAATGGGTTTCTATGTGGCTGCCCCGTTGCAAAAAATGAAGGTGATAAGTTCCACTTGTTGCATGCGTATATGATTGCCTCTATGCATGTATTACTCTGAGATTTTGTAGTCCCTCCGTCTGTGTTGCCTAATTTGGTTCTATGCGTGAATGATTTTCACTTTACTGCCTCTGTCCCTAAATGTTCTTCCGTTTTGACCGTGCACATTGATTAAGAAAATGTATTATCTTCCCTAAATGTTGTTTTGATTGGCCTTAACTGTGCACATTCTTATGCCTAAATGCCTACTTATGCCTACTGTGCACATTCTTATGCCTAAATGCTTGTATGCCTAGATGATGTTGACCTAACTGCATGTATGCCCAATATGATGTTTTGATTGGCCTTAACTGATGGGCTAATCCTACTGGCAATTATGATGTTGACTGATTCTAATTGTTGAATGTTGCTTAATGCTTTGTATGTTTACTGTGATGACAGTGTCATACTACTGAGTCCAAATAATCCAATTTGCATTCATAGATAATGACAATGTCTTGTTTGTGTACATATTTTGTATGTGTACCCCAAAACCCAAATTACAAAATCCAAAAACAACTAGCAAAAAAAACCAAGACCCTGTCTATGCCCAAAACCCAAAAACCCTAAAGCTAGTACCTACCTAAGACTGGCTGCTACTAATGTCAAACAACTCCATCACCTCCCCCACTGTTGTACTGTCTGCTGCATTTGAGATATATGCTTCCTCATTACCTTGTAACAAGTCCATCACTTCCCTCATGGTTGTAGTTTCTGCAGTGAGGGAGATAGGTAGTGCCCCATTACGATGTAAATTATCCTTTCCAATGTGAGGTAATCTGTAGTTGTTGTTACCTTTAACACTTAGAATCTCCTTCATACACATCTGCAATGATAGTCAAACCTTGTTCAAAGTATATGGACTCAACTCCTCAAATACTTTGGTCACCCCTGCCACTAACTCTAAAACTGTAGTACTTGGTGATGCTTGCTGTAGGGACTGAATTGATCTAAAAAACCCTAGGTCTAGAACATTTAAATCAGGACTATTAGTAGGTTGACATGTTAGTTTGATGTTAAATCCTTCTGTAATACCCTCTTTCATGAACTCACTGTCATTAGGCTGTATATGTGGTTTGACATTGTCTTGTTGGATGTAAATATCCCCAGATCTATCAAGTGGCCACTTGGCTTTGATGGTAGGGAGCACTTGTGTGAGTAAACACTGCATGTATACACTTTTTGTGACACTCTCAATTGCTTTTTCCTCAAATGTGCCAATTTTTCTGTTTTTGCTATTCCTTTTTGCTGCCTGGAATTCTGTGAATGGGAAAATACCTATTTTCCCATCAAATAAGACCTCTGAGTCCTCTGAAAATATTGGCCTAGCCACAACACACAAAAACATTACTTTTGTGATGTATCTCTTGGACTTACATGTTCTGTATGGCTCTTGTTCATCTAGAGCCAGATAGTATCTCTGTGAGGGTTTAGTAATGTAAAACCACTTCTCATCCACATGGACATAGTTGAACATGGGTTCAAATAGTGGATGAGGGTTGAGTGAGTGTGGGACAATGTGTGAAATGACTCATTCAAGTCTCTTAGTCATATTTGACTCGGTCAAATAGGGTTTGATGGAATTTGTGTGTGCTTTAATCTTACCTTGTCGTATCAGTCTGTGCACATTTGTTTTGGGACAGCCCATAGCAGATGCCAGACTTCTTATGGTCTGCCTTTTGTGAAGATCTATTTCTTTAAAGTCAAATGTAGGTAGTGGTAAAGGTTTCCTCCCGCATTTTGCAGTAAACTGTCTGTCAACATTTATAGATACACCATCCCTTTGTGATTTCCTTACTTGTATCCAAATACTTGTGATGTACCTTACTGACATTTGATGTTCATTAGCAAATGCAGATTTTACTCCTTGGGCCAAGTTACCATCTGTGGAATTAGTCAGAAGACCTTGCATGATCCGCTGCTTTGCTTCGTTAGACAGCCTTTTCTTTTCTTTTTGTTCGAAGAATTTCTGAAACTTCCATGTTGCTTTTTGTTGGACAACCTTTTCTTTTTTTTCTGTTGTTTGAAGAATATTTGAGACTTCCTCTTGTAATATGTGTTGTGTATATATAGAGCCGTGACATATTTAAAGTGTTTAAATTTTTTTAGTTGGAGGGAGTGCTTAGAAGTCCCCGCCAGAAGACAAAATGTCCCAAAAAAATCTGCCTACTTTTACTGTACACTGCAGCAGCAGTCTATAAAGTAGGCAGCCCCGTCCCTCTTTATTTTCCCTGAACTTGTGCGGTAAAAAAATAAGGGCAAAGGTGGAAAGTCAAGGGAAAATAGTACATTTTCTTAAACAATGTACCCAGTCAAAATGGAAGAACATTTAGGGACGGAGGGAGTATTATTTTTCACTTCTCTATACAATTTTCAATAACACAATTTTTATTTTATTATATTATGTGTAAGTCAAAGTTGGCAATCTCTATCTAAGAGCCTGTTTGGTAACAATAAAATTGCCCGGATCGGTTGAATCGTTTGAAATCACTGTGACTGAATTGGTTGAATATGTTGAACTATGAAAAATTATATTTAAAATATATTTTATTAATAAAATTAAAAATAATTTCATAAGAATAGCTAAAAAAAATCTCTGCGGTAACATCAATCAATTTAGAAAAGTAAATCGAATCTTACTTATTTTGATTATTACTCAATTCAGCACAGAGTCAAAAACTATGTGTTTGGTAAAAAATGTTGAGTGATAAGCTGAAAGTATAGGTTACCAAAAAATGTTGAGTGATATGTTGAGTGATAAGAGCGCGTTTAGTAAAACTGAAATTGACTTATTCGAGTGAAATTCTTAAAATACATCCAAAATATATTTTATTAATAAAATAAAGAAAAATTATACTCTTTCTGTCTTTTTTTAATTAGCAACATTTAATTTTCTTGTCAATAATGCTAAATTTTGATTGATAATACATTTATATATGAAAGTTTTTATAATATGAAAATGATATGATTTTTTTGGTTAAAAATACATTCATAAAAGTATAAAATTTATTAGTTTTTTAAAATATATTAATCAAAATGATTGATCAAAGTTTATCATCAATTGAAAAGGTCAAAAATGACTAACTAAAAAGGAACATGAGTGAAAAAAATAGTTGAATAAATAGTCTATGCACTAATTTCAGCCAATTCATTGACAAATATACCTTCAGAAATATGCTTGACACCAAAGCTCTATTTTGTGTGCAATACAAGATAGAAATCTTAATTTATAAAGTAAGGTCATATTTGGTATGATGTAATGCAATGTAATGGAATGAAGTGCGTAATGCAATACAAAATGCAATGAAATGGAATGGAGTCTCTATCACATCACAATATTTGGTTACTTAAGTAATAACAACTTTGAAATGTAATCAATATTACATAATTATGTTTGTTTATCTACACAATGGGTTAGTTTAGTTTTGTAGAGCAACTTTGTAATGCCTATTGCTACATCCTCTATTCTTCCATTTTGGTGTTTTCTTCTTTTGTGTCTGTGATTTTACAGCCTAGAGAGATGTGTGTGTAAGTGTGTTATTGTGTGCTCTAGCTCAATGAAATAAGGAGCTAGTATTTATAATTTAATTGATCGATCAAAAGATACTATTTGCTTCCCGAAAAGATTGGTCATATTAACTTTTTTGTTTTATGATAAAAAACTTTAAACAATAATTTTAATTTTTATATTTGTATATAATTTTTAAATTTTATACCTTTATGAAAATATTTTGAATAAGGAATATTTTGATATAATTTTCATATTCAAAATAATTTCGTATTAAAAAATATCATTGGTCAAAGTTGATTGTCATTGACAAAAAATATTAATTTGGTGATTTTTTTCGGGACGGAGAGAGTACTAATTATGTTTAATACTTGCTTTACCCTTTGAGTGAATCACCGAAATAGGACAAAAAAGTGGCCCAAGAGCACAAATAGGATTGAGGGTGTTTGGCAAATGGATGTTGGCTGATTATGTTAGCTGATCGATGGTAACAGATTCAATTGACTGTTTTGATTAGCTGATAGTATTAGGAGTTTGTGAAATGGTGTTTTGTAAAATAGCTGTTTATAATCAGCTGATAACTTATTAAATGATTTTTGTGGACATCAATTAATTTTTTGTTAATGTTATTAGTACAATTACTCAGGGCATTTTTAATTTATAATTTAAAAAATGAACACAAGTAATAATTATTTGGAAAAATTGATAGTAATAATCCCAACTATCGACGGTCCGCTCATAATAATCCTAACTATCGATTATTTCAGAATAATCTCAACTTTAGATACCTTCCGCCAATAATGGTCCGATGTGACCGGCTATAAATAAATTCTGTAGTGGATGAGAAGAGATATAACAAGTAATCCCTATATATAATCCCAAATTTTTTTTCCATGCATGATCACTATCTTCATTGGACTTATTGCTAATTAACAATTGCTTATTGTTTTTTACGATGGTCTACACAATTGAGTTTCAAAAGCGAGGATTGCCTCATGCGCATATTCTGTTATGATTGGAAAGCGAAGACAAACTACCAACAACCGCATATATCGATAGGGTTATTTCTTTGAGATTCTAGACCAACTGTCTCATCCGAGTTATTATGCAACTATTAGAGATTTTTTTATCAATGACCCTTGTGGAGCGAGTGTTCCCCTTGCATGGTTGGCACTGAGTATTTTCTAATAAATAGTGTCGTGACACTGTTGTAGATGCCACTGGATACCCTCTTTACCAAAGGAGGGAAAATAGTCAGAATGTAAATAAATTTAACATTGTCATGTGCAATCACTTTTTGCTCATGAAATATGGAGGTCATACCAATGTGGAGTGGTGCAACCAATCAAGATCTGTCAAGTATTTATTTGAGTATATAAACAAAGGTCACGACTGTGTCATCATAGATTTTCACAATATTGCAAATGCGAATGGATTGAATAAACCAGTTGATGAATTAAGAATGTACTAATGAAGTAACAATTTTCCATTTGAATGGAATACATTGGTGTTTTGGAGGATTTCGAACAAGTTTTGCATGTAATTCCGATAGGATGTAGTCATGATGTAGTTAATGCTACAATCAATTTTTTGTACATGTTATAAGAATGTGTGATTATGTGATTGAAAAAAAATTGCAAAGTATATTGCAAAGAGTTTTTCATATTGGATAGCAAGCATAGAGAATAGTGTTTCTCCTGAGACAGATGATGGTTGTGTATCTATCAAAATCACCGAAGATATTCTTATTACAACTGTAGAGGATCTAATAGCAACATTTGTTTCCAACACTTATCCAGAGTATCAATGATATGACATTCTTGAGAGATCATGTTATTCTAACGTCAACTCTTAGTGTTCTAGACTCTGTTAATGACTATATGAAAAATCTTAATCAAGATGAAGTTACGAAATTATATCTAAATTCAGAGAGTGTGTCTATAGTAGATTCAACATATGATATTATGACAGGCGCACACGCCTGAGTGGCTGAGTTCTTAATTAATTAATAGCATAAGATTGTTTGAAATACTCAATCATAAATTGACCTTGAAAGTCGACACTCATGTAATTTTGTTCCGAGTATAGATCACTCTATGAGTTTGTGCAATGACACACGACTTATATTAACAAGGCATGGAGAACATATATAGGAAGAAAACATTAACTTGTATCAGTGTAGGTAAAAAGTTCTGATTTTGAGTCTCTCATTAACAATATATGACGTTGGATTGTCATTCAAGGGCAAAGGTGTCAATATCTAATCATGACTTGTTATGCAATGATTATAAATAAGAGTAAATGATAACCATTGTCCCACATGAGTTAGTTATTAAAAGAATACTGCTCACTCTGTCACTCTCACTCTGCCACTCTCACTCATGGTTAGTTGTATGTAGGGATGGATTCGGGCCGGGTCGGGCTCGGGCCGGGCCTAGGCCCGGTCGGGCCGCCGGTTCTAGAATAGTGGGCCTGGGACCGGCCCGAGGGTTGGACGGGTCCGGTTCGGGCCGGGCCACCCGCCCGGGTCACGGGTCGGGCCACCCGCCGGGCCGGGTAATTTTTTTTTTTTTTTTTAAATTTATATTTTATACTTTATAGTTTTATACAAGTATTAAAAAACAAACTTCAAGTGCATTTATTTGAAATGAAATAGGAACTACATTTGAAAATTAAATAGGAACTATAATTGTTTTTAATCGGAATCTCCGGCATAAGTAGAGCCACCCTCTGTAGATTCATCCATAAAGTGTTGTGATGGAGTGATGTCAATTTGTTGAGCTCTACGTGCTGCTTTCAACCAATCGTGGTAGCATATAAGCATCTCAAGAGATTCAGCGCTCAACCTCGTTCTGGTTTGTGTTAGAACATTGCCGGCCGAACTAAATTCTTGTTCCACGGCAACCGTTGAAACCGGCATTGATAGCACTTGCTTAGCCATCTTTGCTAAAACCGGGAACACTCTTTCTTTTCCCTTCCACCAGTTTAGTATGTCAAAATCATCATCTTCTTCAAAATCAACATCATAAGTTAAATACAAAGAAATCTCATTAATTGTGTTTTGTTGTGTAGCGGGAGTTGATTTTGTTTTTTTAATAAGATTGGCAAACGTAGATTTGAAAATTTGATTTTCCTTTAGATGATGTTTGTGTCGGGGGAGGGGGCGCATTGCCATATTGTGCATGAAACTCATTGAATAATGCATAAAATATATCACTAATCTCGTTGTATTCTTTTTTCGGATCAATTGGGTTGTCCTCATACATTGGCAATGGACCAAAAAAAGCAGCATAATAATAATTCAAACATTCTTCTAAAGAACCAAGTCTAAAACGAGGATCGAGAACAAATGCAATACCATAAATATGCGGAATATGTAAATTATGATAAGTATCCTCCCATATATCAGAACATACAGTAACACGTCCATCAAAGTTTGCAAAATAATTTTGTAACCTTACCTTTTCCGCACCATAAAGCCTTGAAATTTCTTTCTTAACCGTTTTGCGACTATAACCTCTATATTGCGGATTTAAACAAGTTTGTGCATAATCACGAAAAGCAAGACTTTCAGAAAACAAATAAGGCAAATTTTCTTCAACAAGTAAGTTAGCCATACCTGTCAAATTTTGTGCATCATTGTATGAGAAATTACCAAAAGCTTGTTGGTTATTTGCAAACCTCGATATTTGCGTTTGTTTCCCCGTTCCGCCGCCTAATTTTGCATACTCCACCGGGTGTTTGGACTTAAGGTGTCTTGTGGCGGATCCGTATCCGCCGGAAATCCCCAAGCTATAGTTTTTCTTGCACCAATTGCAAGTTGCGGTCCAATTCCCGGTGTTCGGGTCCTTCCACTTAGAAAAATTATTAGCCATTAATTCATATTTACTTTTTTTTGTACATGTTTGTAGGGCTGGCATTTTGAAACGAAAAACCGAAAACCGAACCGAAAATAACCGAACCGTTTTAGAAAAAAACTGAACCGGACCGAACCGAACGAAATTGGGACCCAATAATCGGGACCCGAAAAAAAATCGGTTCGGGTTCGGTTTATGTGCACAAAATATCGGTTCGAACCGAACCGAACCGACATTTTTATATTAATAATAATAATTGTTATTTATAATAATAATAATAATTAATGACGAAACATATAGTAATAATATAAAGCCGAGTATGGTTTGAACAAAGATGACGAGTAGCGGAGTTGGTCGTTGTGCTCCTATCCCCAACAAATGGTCGAGGGATCGTTTCCCGTATGCTGTGTAATGCTTTTGTATTTTTAGAATTTGGCTTCTTTCTTCTTCTATTCTGTCCCACACCGGAAAATGAGCAGCTTACTACTCCAAAAACTTCAATATAAACCAGGTTCCCTTATTGTAGGCTGCTAAGATACGTTCTAGGCTTCCAATTGGGCTAATGGGGCTCAAATATTGGAAAGTTCCAATGAGCTTTAGTCTACTGAATATTAGTTCAAATTTATTTTTTAAAATTGAGTTGGTTTTTCGGTTCCCGGTAAACTGAACCGAATAATTCGGGCCCCAAAAATCGGTACCCGTTCTTAATACGGTTCGGTTTCGGTTTTTGTAATTTAGTAAACCGAAATATCGATTCGGTTCGGGTTTATACTAAATCGGTTCGGGTCCCGAACCGAACCCAGCCCTTCCTGTTTGGGATGAGGCTGCTTGGTCGGCGTCATGGCTGCCGCCACCCTCCTCCTCCTCGTCGTCGTGGCTCTCCGGAATTGCTTCCTCCACATCGTCGTCCTCGTCCTCGAGCTCTTCTTCGTCAATGGTCCTCGGTTGGTCTTGAAAAAAGCGGGAATTATGTCGGTGCAATTCTTGTTCTAGTTGTTCGTCGGTCATCGCATCCCCATCCCTCCTTACGTAACCCGTATCAAAATCATCTTGACTTTGAGATGAAGAGCCGAGATGTGATTTACCTTTGCGGGGTCTCTTCCTCGCAAGCTCGTTCGTTCGGTTGCGCTCGAGGTTACCCATATCAACCGAATATCTAGGACGATCCATCTAAAAAATGTAGCAATTAATAAAAAATTGTAAAAAACTAATTAAGTATTTATCTAACTATTAATTCGAGTTATAGCAAATTAAGTAGTGAATTAACTAGTTTTGTGTACAACATTATTTTTAAACTAGAGTCAAATGTAGCAATTAATAAAAAATTGTAAAAAACTAATTAACTATTTATCTAACTATTAATTCGAGTTATAGCAAATTAAGTAGTGAATTTACTAGTTTTGTGTACAACATATTTTATAAACTAGAGTCAAATGTAGCAATTAATAAAAAATTGTAAAAAACTAATTAACTATTTATGTAACTATTAATTCGAGTTATAGCAAATTAAGTAGTGAATTAACTAGTTTTGTGTACAACATATTTTTTAAACTAGAGTCAAATGTAGCAATTAATAAAAAATTGTAAAAAACTAATTAACTATTTATCTAACTATTAATTCGAGTTATAGCAAATTAAGTAGTGAATTAACTAGTTTTGTGTACAACATATTTTATAAACTAGAGTCAAATGTAGCAATTAATAAAAAATTGTAATTCCAACTATATTAATAAAAAATCGTAATTCCAACTATACTAATTAACTAGTAATTAAACAAGTGTAAATAATAGAATAATTTCGTACCTCTTTCGGACTTTCGGTCTTTCGGATGGGAGTAATAGAATGACTTCAAATTAATTAGATATAATTCCAACTATATTAATAGATATAATAAATATATAAGTAATATATAATTAGATAACAAATATAAGTAATATAATACTATTTATATCTATTTATAGTTTATATAAGTAGATAATTAATATAAACTATAAATAATAAATATAATATATTGGAGAATGGAGAATAAGAGAATTAGAGAGTAGAGAGTTAAGAATAGGATTTAGGAAGAATTGGAGAAGAGATATGAAAAAATGTTTAAGATTAGGAGTATTTATAGGTTTTTTTACCCCCCCCCCCCCCCCCACCACCCAACCGCCCCGGACCCCCCCTATAACCCACCCAACGGCTATATAGCCGTTTGGGGTTGTCCCCAGCCCCACCCCCAACGGCTAGTAGGAGCCCAACCCAAAAAAACTTTTTTTTTTTAAAATTGATCGAACCGGACCCGGGCCCGGGCCCGACCCGGCCGGGCCGGGTCACAAAATTGCTGAACCGAGCCCGCCCCGCCCCTTCCCCCCGGTTCGGGCCCAGACCCGGTCCCGGACCGCCCGACCGGGCCGGTCCCGGGCCCGCACAGTACCGGGCCGGGCCGGGTCACGGGCCGGGTGGCCCGAACCGAATCCATCCCTAGTTGTATGTTATTGTGTCAAGGGTTAAAAATTCTCATTTCAAATGATCCAACTATACTATTATTATGTTTCTTATAATATATTCTCTTTTTGTATAAAGCAGCTATACAAAATATCACTTGTATGCTATTATTGTATACAAAAGTGTAGTTATGTGGTGCAATTGATTACATTATTTACGTTACTAAAATCTCATTCCGAAACATTTTCAATCGTGCAACGCATGGATGAATCAAAAATATATATGGATAATCTAAAAAGAAATTAATAAAATAAAGAAGTAGCTGAGCAAACATATAGACATTGGTAGGCCTCATTAAACTCACACATGATACCAACATAGGCCTCATGACTTAACACACATGGTAAGATGAGCACAATGATATGTCCCCTTAAAGTTTGAAATTTCTTTTCCTTCAAGTGCACCGGCCATAAAAAGTCAACATAAGACCTAAATAATTGAAAACAAATCAAATTTTTTAAAAAAAAAATATCATTTATTGTTTAGTCTTACTTAATCTAATATAATTCAATTTGTAAAAAAACTATTAACCTTTCAATCTTTCATGAAGAAAATCTCACAGAAAGCTACTTAAATATAAAAATAAATAAATTAATATCTATGATTTTTTTATGTCTTTGACTGATAGTTTTTATGCCCCTAACATTTAAATAATGAACTTCGGTCCTTCAGTGATAATTAACATAATAAAACTATCAATTTGTAACATAATAAAAATTATAATAGTACGAACCAAATACTATGTTTGTAAGATTATGATATTGCATCGCTTTTTTAAATCAATGAGAATAGCGTGAACCAAATAATAAGTTTGCAATGCAAGTGTTTTTCGTAAAACTTTTGTACATAGCACCAATTCAGCGTGGTAAACACTATCTTACAAGACATTTCATCTAAATATACACAGCACCATCTACACTTGATCTAAAATGCTAAATGAAAGTGTTAGCAAGTGTAGTTCAAAGGGAACATATCTCAACACATTTTCCACAGCAGTGTTCATTGTTCTTCGTCTCTCCATACTTGACGGAGTAGTTGATACCGAACAATATTTCGGTTACCCTTGCCATCGGTTTTCCAGTCTATCTTTTTTAAAGATGAATCCCGAGATCTATCAGCCATAATACAAGACAAGGGTGAGTCAAGCTCATCCAGCTCATCGTCACTAGTGTATGATCTTTTTAAAATTGACGATCCGATGTGTGATAATGATAGAGACCCGACGTCTCCCACGGTCCCAGTGGTGACTGAAGCTGCATGAGGAGATGAGTAGACAATGGGAGCAGCACTACAAGGAAAGTTAATGAGGCACTCTCCACTTTCATCCACATGATCCTTTCATCATAAAGAAAAAAGGGAGACTGAAAAGTTAGTACGAGATTCTTAAACTATGCGAGTATGACTGGTGTAGCACTATAAAAATAGGTGAGACTTATTGAATATGGATTGTGGTGGACTTTTAAAAAAGTCAATGGACTTTTAAATCCATAGACTTTTTTTTTGAATGAATTCTATGGACTTTTAAATTCATGGATAAGTTTATTGACTTTCAAAAAGTCCATAGACTTTTAAATGCAGACCACCACTCTTGGTCGTCGAAATTTTCACTTAGATCACTGCTACCGATTTGCCCATCCGCCTCCGTCACCGGAGTTCCCCGCTGTCGTCATCGGACTGATCCGATGTCGTCATCGGATTGATCCGCCACCAACAATATCGATTTGATTATGCAAGGGAACTAGGGACAATTAATTATATTAATTAATTAATTATATGATAAGAAACAAACAAACAAACAAACAAACCAAATAAATAAATAAATAAAACAAATGTAATTCATATAGCAACACAAAGTTCTACAAGAATAAATGAAGCATAAGAATCAAAATTTATTTTTATTAAAAACACTCAAAGTTTCAAGAATGCTCAAGAATTTTGGTCATTTTATTAATGAGTAAGAACATTAATCGTTACACAACCGTTACACTCATTGCTACATGTGATACAAGCATAGTTGCAATCGACTTTTTCTTCTTAATAAATGTTTTCTTTTCATTTCTATCTTGTAAAATTTTGTGTGCTTATTTACAATTATATATTTATTAATTTGAAATTATATTTTTATGTGTTAGCGATTTAACGATGAAAGAAAGTAATAGTTAAAATATTTATTTTCTTAATGGTTAAGTGACGACGTACCAGAATTTCACGATGTAATACTATCGATTCTTATACCAATTCTTCTAGAAACTTCAAGAATTGAACCATTATGGGATTAACGAATCGAGGGGGGATCGAGGGGGGTGGAGTGGGGCAAGCTGAAGAAAAAAAAAGAACGGAAGGAGAGGGGTGAGGCGAGCTGGGCTGAAGAAGAAGAAAGATTGAAGGGGAAGGGGTGGTTTGGCTAAAGAAGAGGAGAGTTGGGCAAGAGGGGGGGATGGGGTGGGACGGGATGAAGACCGATATAAGAAAAGTCCACGGAAATCTTTAGTGAGGAGAAGAGACAATTGAAGAGAATCAATGTACTAAAAATGAGTTAAAAGTCCACGAGAATCCATGATTTCAGAAATCCGTAAGAATGAACGGAACTTTGAATATGCCTAGACTTTTATAGACTTTTAAAAGTCTACATTGAATACACCTAGACTTTTATAGACTTTTAAAAGTCCACGTTGAATACACCTAAACTTTTAAAATCCACGGACTTTTAAAATTTTGACACTAAATCCTAATACAATACATCCCCCTTAGATATAGATCTGGTGTGAGACACTTATAGCATGATCACTCAGCCCAATGCGGGATTGCGGGAATAACAACTTGACGGGCGGATAAACGGGCTAAATGGGCCCAAATGGAAGACCCAAATCAATGAGTGCTATATGAATAAACATACCGCAATCGGACCAGACTCTTATATCATACTCCGATGATCATCAGAGGATCATCGGAGTATCTAATTGGGATTAATTCAACATAAGAGGATCATCTAGTTGAGGTTTACCTCATATGTATATATTAGATAATAAATATAGGTCTGAACACATCCGATGTGTAATACCTAACAAGTAGCTTTAAAATTGCTGAAAAAATAGTTTAGGGAGGAGCCAACCTCAGTATCAAGGGCATCAAAAACTTCTTCGGGAACTGGCTTTTGGTAGAACTCATCAGGGACAAAATTGCTAAGAACCCTCTTGATCAGAGTGGGAGAGAATCTCGGGCAAACCTATTAAGAATTTAGTTAGTTTTTTTTTTATACATTTAATACATGTAAATTATACCGCCAATAATAAAGGATTATCTAGTGTCAACATACATTAAAGGATCATATTTTAGCACAAATACACAAACATAACTGATGAGAATTTAGTTACATTGTGTGTGTGTGTGTGTGTATATATATATATATATAGAGAGAGAGAGAGAGTAGTGATCCTGTCAAGCCGGTCTGACAATACCCGCCATCCGGCCATTGGGGGCCCTTCCTTGTGGAATTTTTTATTGAAATTTAATTCATCATGTTCTTCATCAAGTCTAGTTTATGACCACCAAATTTCATCTTAAAACTCAATTGGAAAAATAGTTAAATAAATTATTTTAAAACACCGTGCTTTGTGTATATATATAAAGCGCGCAGTAGTTTTCAATTCCACATTTAACAAACTTTTCAATTGAATTTTTAGCTGAAATTTGGTGGGTATAAACTAGACTTGATGAAAATCATGTACAAAAAATTCCACTAGGAAAGGCCCCAGATGGCCAGATGTCAAGCCAGCCTGATATGAACAGCTCAATACACACACACAAGGATGATCCTATCCAGCCTGAGGGACAGGACCCTCCGTTCGGCCGCCGCCGTTTGAGGCGGTTCCTGGTGGAATTTTTTAATGAAAGTTTTTGAGCATGTTCCTCATCAAGTCTAGTTTGTCCACAAAAAAAAATCAGCTAAAAATTCGATCAGGAAAGAAGTCAAATAAGTTTTTGAAGATAACTACGCCAAAATATACATATAAAACATAGTTATTTTCAAACATTTATTTGACTGCCTTCTCCATTGAATTTTGAGCTGAAATATTTTGTGGACAAACAAGACTTGATGAGGAACATTCTCTAAAACTTTCATCAAAAAATTCAATCGAGAACCGCCCCAAAGGTGGCGGTCGGACGGAGGATCCTGTCCCTCCGGCTGGAGGGGACCTTTTCAGTATATATATATAGAATACTCTTCCGGTCAGGAATTCCTGACCGTAACCGCCGTCCAGACGGCGGCATTTGGGGCCCTTCCCGGTGACATTTTTTTATGAACATTTTATGGCATGTTTTTCATCGAGTCTAGTTTATCCACAAAAAATTTCAGCTAAAAGTTCAATCGGGAAGGCCGTCAAATGATTTTTGGAAGATAACTGCGCCCAAAATATACATATAAAACGCAGTTAACTTCCAAAAATTATTTGATAACTTTCCTGATTGAATTTTTTGCTGATTTTTTGTGTGGATAAACTAGACTTGATGAAGAACATGTCATAAAAATTTCATCAAAAAGTCGACCTGGAGAGGCCAAAACGCCGCCGTCCGGACTCCCAGAAGAGAAATGAGAATGAATCTGGACCGTTG